GCATCCCGACGCTCCAAGACGGCCCACGAGGCCTCCAAGACTGCTCCACGATAGCCGAAGAGGCCTCCAAGAGGGCCCCAAGACGGCCCACGAGGCCCCAAGACGGTGCTTGATGCGACCAAGACGGCCCGAGAGGGCCCTAAGACGGTCCCAAGAGAGGCCCTACCGCAACCCAGCAGCAGAGTCTTCCGCCGTAAGATGCCCAGAGTAGGCCCCAAGAGTCCCCAAGTGGTCCGACGAGGCCTCCCAAAAGGAGACGTACAAGGGGCCCAAAGATTACCCAGCAGCGCGTTCGATGCATCAAAACTGTTTGCAGGAGGCCCCCCGGAGGCTTCCGAATTGCGTCAGTGTGGCCCCAGGAGCCCTCAAGTCGTGCCTCCACGCACTCAAGACGGCCAATGACAGCTTCATACTGCAGAACATCACCTTCCGACTGCCCCGAGAACCCCGACGACGATGCTTCCAACGGACCCCAAGAAGCCCCAAGACGCCCCCCAAGAAGCACCCAAGAGGTGCCTCCAACAGCAAATTGAGGAAGCACGGAGAACCACCCAGAAGCTTTTCAGTTGCCCCCACGAAGACCCAAGAGTTCCCCAAGAGGCCCTCAGGAGGCACGACGATGTCACGCGCCTGTGCTTGATAGCGCTGTCCAAGATCTTCCAGCGCCCCCCCGGCCTGGGCTAGAACTTGAGCGCGCGCGATGGTTTTTGTAGACGACTTGATTGCGGAGCTGAATAACACGCCTTGGGACGCCATGCTACTGAACGTGACAATGCGCAACATCGCGGCAAAGACATGTGGGTATTTGTTGTGCGCATCGGGGCATGACATAACACACATGGCGTTGCTACAGTTGGAACCATTGTTGACGTGCACACTTAGTCAGTTTTGTGCCCATAGACCAGTGACTAGCACACACGGACGTCGCAAGGAATATGGTACGGCTCCAGTTGATGTCGGCTTGTTTCCCTTACATCGGCTACCAGGACCACCACATGCAGCGCATCTATGACACAATCGGCACTGCCACTCACGAGGCTCGTCAGGATCGACGCCATACTGTATTATGCAAAAATGGGATCTTACGAAGAGGGTGACAGCATCAAAACGGTAGGAAAATGTTGACTTGGGCCTAGCATTACGCGGGGCTGGTTGTTGACGAATTGGGCGTCTATGCAGGTCCTGGTCCTGACGAACACGACGTTCAAGAAGTCACCGGGCGACTGCGTAACACACATCGGACCTAGCAAAATATCTCGGCAGTCGACTACCTCATGGTTGATCTGTCTCTCTGGCGCACTGCCCGTAACAGCGGTGCGGGTAGTTTCATCTACAAGGGATCTGGCCACAGAGTTGTGCACCTGCGCAGCGCCAACGTCAGACCGGCCACCGCTCCATCGACGGCTGCTACGGAAAAGGCCGACAAACATCACATGTAGAAAGAACGCACGGCCACTTTGGACGGATTGAGCTGCCGATTTACGCAAATCGGAAAAAGATTGAATGCTGCTTGTGTCAGGTGCCCTGAAGCACCCGCCCAGTCAAATGACCAATCAGACGAGACACACAAACAAGTTATTGAATCGTTTCGCTCATTCCGCCAGCCCATTTCGCATGACTGAGCCTCTTGGGGCCGCTGGGGGGCCTCTTCAGCGTCGCTTGGGGGCCTCCTGAGGGCCTCTTGGGGGCTTTTGGGGCCTCTCAGGGGCCTCTTGAGGCCTCCTGGGGGCTTCTTAAGGCCGAGGGCTCGAAGTTTTGTTTTGTGTTCCCCCTTTGGGGCATCGCTTGGGGCCCTCTTGGGCCCCTCTTGGGCCGTCTTGGATGCCTCTGGGGCCGTCTTGGAGCCCTCTTGGGCCATCTTGGGGCCTTCTTGGGAGCTTCTTGGGCCCTCTTGGGGCGATCTTGGGGGCCTCTTGGGCCGTCTTGGGGCGTCGGGAAGCCGAAAAGATGGACACGCCAAAATCTGCCCAAAACCTAAGGAAAAGTAATGAAGTTTGCCTCTTGGGGCCCTCTGGGGAGTGCTCTGGGAGGCCTCTTGGGGCGTCTGGGGGCCATCTTGGGCGTCTTGGAACGATCGTCTGGCATCTCGGAGCACTCTTGAACCATCTTGGAGGGCTCTTGGCGGCCTCGTGGCCATTCTTGGGGCTCTCTGGAGGGCCACGGGGGCGGCGCCCAGGAGGAAAACCATCTCTGATCCGACCCTGCCGGGGATCGCCCGGGGGACTTTTCGTCCGGGGACCCCCAGGGGCCGCCCCGCGCGCGCGAAGTCGAAGTATTATTTAGCAGTTACCGGAGATCTTAGCACGCCTTTGGCCCGTTGGGCTGGCGAATTCTCCATGCCAGGAATCTACAACCCAAAGAAATTAGGTAACACAGGGAATGCGAAGGGAAGTGAAAGCCATTCGACGGGCAGCTCGACATTTGCAAATATATCATATCATCAACGATTGCAAGAACTTGGAACAGATCAGCGACATCAAGTCCAACAGGCGTCCGAACCTGATGTCGCAAATGGTGCACCTGGGCGGCGCCAAAGATCGTTCGAGAAAGGGATTGTTGACATGAGGGCCGGTTTGATGGGTGCTTTATCGACAACGTGATTGTGATAGCCACCACCAACACGATATCGAGCATGAATGTGCCATTCCAGTCACGTGTCTTGTTCTATGTGAATTCAGAGCAGTGCTCAAGCAGTTGAAAGATGGCAAGGCTCCAGATAAGTCGGGCATCTTGGCAGAGATGTTAAAGTCCTGCGGGCCAGCGCTAGAGCTAGAGTTGTGGAACCCTGACAGCGAAAACCTAACCCGAATACACCGAAGCAGTGGCGCCGAGCAAACACCTCCGTGGTGTACAAGGCAGGCGACCCAGCCCAGCCGCAGAACTACCGCCCAATGGCATTTTTCTTTAGCGTGCAAACTATTCGGCATAATATGATACAGTCGACGTGAACAAACGCTTGGATGCACAAGAACCTCCTGATCAAGCAGCTTTCCGGAGGCATCATTCCAATGAGTACATTATGTTCACGCTGGCCATGGTGCAAGAGAAAGCTCAAGAATGGCAGCCCCATGCATGGACAGCAACACTAGATTCCGAGAAGGTGCTTGACAAGGTGTCACATTGCGAGTTGTGGAGCGTTTTGGGGAAGCAAGGGGCTCAAGGGGTTCTAGAAAATTGCACCCTAGTTCTGCGACGCCTGTATACCAATCAGACGGCGACCGTTTCGACTGACGAAACGAGCAGGGCATTTCAAATAAAGCGTGGTACAAAACAGGGAGACCCATTGAGTTCAGTGCTACTCAATTCGCTGCCGGAGGGCGTCTTCAGATAGCTACAACCGAAATGGACGAGACGGAAATGTGGAATCCGAGCATGCTTCGCTGGCGCTCACCTTAAGAACCTTCGGCTTGTTGACGATGTCATCTTTTTCGGGACATCTGTGCAACAAGTCTACCGCATGCTTCGCGAAGTACGCGATGAAGCCGCTAAGGTGGGCTCGGAAATACATCCCGATCGGATCTATATATTGCATATGCAGCGTCGCCGAAGACCCCGTGCACGCCCAGGTTATTTCTGCGACCCCACCACGCATGTTGAAATATTACCTTTCGGTACTCACCAGAAGTATTGGCGCAGGAAGTTCGCATTCCAAAACCAACACACATGTGAGGTGGAAGCCCGTCTCGCTGCTGGGTTGCGCAAATTCAATTCCTTGAAACGTGAATTGACCACCCGTACACATTCTCTACGCGGCCGGATACGCTTACTCTACGTCGCATTTTCCCAGTCTCCGATGGTATTTCATGGGGGTTTGAGCAATTGAGTTGGAAAAGCCTGCTGCGCCCCACACGACGCCAGATTCTTCGATTGATTCTGGGTGCTTCGATAAGACGACGAGAATCTGCGGATGACGAGCGCACGGAAATGTGGACCACGTGGGCGGCAGCCTATCGCGTTCTTCCAGCGTCGCCGGGCGTGGTCAGGTTGAGATGCTCGACAGTGGCTTCTGCAACAAGGTTGACCACCTGTAGCTATGAGTCGAGTGGGCCAAACGCGCTACGCACGAAACGCAACACTTGTTAGAGCGATTGAGCATCGGAGACTCGATGACAAATCAACGTCGCAGGATATGGAAAAGGGCGTAACACGTCGCATCCGACCAAAACGAATAAACATACCGGGTGTTGTCGTGGGGACGTGGACTGCTTGTGGGCCACAGGGAACAATGTCGTAAATAAGCCAGGCGAACATTTCGATGGGAAGATGACGTACGGAAACATGTACAACAAGCCTTGGGCACACCTGGTGAAACGGAGGCCTGGGCCAGACTAACTTTGCAGCATCGTGAGTGCGCACGATATTTTGCCCCGCCCACTATGCAGATGCATTTTTTCTGATTTTCAGGGGGCGCTCCGGCCGCACCCTGCTGTGTCCCCTCGCGTGGACATTCATGCAAGTATTGTCTGATTGTCTGACTGTCACGCATGATCACATAGCCCTTTCGCTGCGCTCTGGCGCCTCCGCCTGGCTCTCGTATGGCCGTCCCCCAGGACGACTGACCGGCGCCTCGCCTCGCCTTGTCTCGCTTCGCCTCCTCCGTTCGGGGGTTTCAAAAACACGTGTTGACGGACCGCGCGGTGACTTCGAAACCCAAGAGACCGCACCGCGCGGTCCGTCATTGCACGGCCTTGGGACGTCGGAGAACCACTCGCCCAAAACGTCCTCCTAGAACGATCCGAGTCCCAAGACCATGCGGTGACCCCGGATCCCCACTGACTCACCACGCGGTATGGTCACCACACCAGTTGGGGGCCCCTTGGTTCGTCTTCATCCCTCCTCATGCTCCTACTCCTTATCTTCTCTCGTCCCCCTTCTTCTCCCCCTCCTCCTCCTCCTCCTCCCTCTCCTCCTCCTCCTCCTCCTCCTCCTCCTCCTCCTCCTCCTCCTCCTCCTCCTCCTCCTCCTCCTCCTCCTCCGTCATCCTTGACAGTGCCTGCCAGGCGTCGCGCGCCTACTGGATCCGGCAGTCGAAGCTCTCCGAGGCCGTGGCGCCCTCGGCCTTCGGGCGGTCAGTGCTGGCTCTGCTGAGGTCGTGGCAGCCGAGCGACGGCGAGGCTGGCGCGGGCGGCGCGGCATTGGTCGCCCGGCCGAGACGGAAAAAGGGTCAACATGAATCGGCGGCGCGCCCAGTGGGGAGGCGGAGGGGTGAGCCTTGTCAGCAGGCTCAGAAGGCCCCAGGCCTTCTTTGAGAAGTGTTGCAGCGTTTCTTCGCAGACGGAGACGGCTTCTCAGAAGGCCGAGGGGCCTCTGGGCTGTGATGGCGCATGCCCCCCCTCACTTCCCTCTTCGGCGCGCCGCCGACAACAGGAAGGCACGAGGCCCTGGAAGATAGCGGCCCTGGAGGGCTCCCGCCGTTTCTGGCCTCTTTGGGCCGTCCCCGGGCCCTGGGGGCCGTCCTCGGACGGCTCTTGGTCAGGGCTTGGTGCCAGGGAAAGTCCTGGGGGCCGGTGCCGGACCCCATGCCAAGAGTTCAGCGGAATGTGCGAAAGGGGGCCGGGCGCCTTTCGAAGACGGCACCCCGCCTCTCAGATGCCTTCGATGCCTTCAAGGAACCTTCTTTGGAGCATCCAAGGAGGGGCCGATCCCGTCCAGAAAGCGCCCATGCCTTGATAGAAGGCGGTCCCCTCTTCGCCCTACGCCGTCTTGCGCGTTGCCTGGATCTTGAGGGTCGTATCCTCTTTTCTCGGGGGTGTCGCTGCGGGGGAGGGAGGGCGCAGGGAACGCGGGCTGGGCAGTGGGGGGGCAGGCGGTGTGACACGGTGAGGGATGAGTGGGAGGAGTGAGGGAGGTGGGCGGGTGGTAGATGGAGGGAGACACAAGGAGGGGAGGGGTGTCGAGAGAGGGAGAGAAGCAAGGAAACAAGGAAGACAAGGAAAGAGCCGAGGGCCACAGGGGTAAGACCATAGGGGGCACAGGCTTTCCATCTCCTCAGCGATGCGCCCTCCCCTCCCCCGTTCATTCTGGACTGCTCTGGGTCCTCGCGTTGGAATCCGTGGCGCCGCGCCCCGCCTCCCCTCCTTCCGTGTCCCCCCCCCCTCCTCCTGCTCCTGCTCCTCCTCCTCGTCCTCCTCCTCCTCTTCACCCACTGCTCCTCCTCCCCCCCTCTTCCTCCTACTCCTCCTCGTCCCTCGCCCTCTTCCTCCTTCTCCTTCTCGTCCCTCACCCTCTTCCTCCTCCTTCTCCTCCTCCTTCTCACGTGCTGGGCCCGCAAGCAGGCCATTGCGCAGTATCATCGCGATGTTGCGTCCGCCGCGCTGGTTTCGAAGCCTCCTGTCGCTTCTTCGCAGTTACGTATTGCCCAACAGCGGGCATGCGGCGCCGTGCGCGCTGCGTTCGCACTCAATCGTCGCCCTCGGACGCAGGGAGTGTTTCTTACCTTGAGCAGCTGCAGTTGCTAATTGGCCAGCGCCTGCGCACGTGGTTCTCTTGTCCGACCCCTATTCGGCTTAGGGAGCGGTGGACTTGGCGCCGGATGCTTTCAGCCGGCGACGCCCATGGTGTATTGGCCGTACATCAAGGCGATTACGGGAGGTTGGACAGCCACGAGCCGCATGCATGTCACGGACACGCTGTGGAGCTGCATTATCGAGTGCCCTCGCCCCGATTGCATAGCACGCTATTTAAAGTGCCCCCGCCTCATTTACCTCGTTCGTCGTCCTCGAGCTGTCGTCTCGCCGTGCTCCTTCCCTATATAGGGCTTGGGCTCTCTGTGCAATATCATGCGTTTGACCTCTCCCGGGAATTTGAGCAACAGTTCTCAATTCTCTCTTTCTCTCTCTGTATGTGTGTGTGTGTTGCTAAGGAAATGGTCTCGCATCAAGACGGGGCACATTGACTCTGCCCCAGCAGCTGAATGCCCCCAAAGCAGCATTAGCCATTCTGCCAAACAAATTTCTCGATTATTTGGCCTCCGCCTGGATCGGCTAGGCCTTACCCCTGGCTGAAACCCGCGAGGCGTCGAGTGCCTAGAGACCCGTGGACTCATGAGGTACTGGCGCTTCTCCTCCTCCTTCTCATCCTTCTCCTCCTTCTCATCCTTCTCCTTCTTCTCCTCCTTGTCCTCCTCCTTGTCCCCCTCCTCTTCCTCCTGCTCCTCCTTTTCCTCCTCCTCCTCTTCCTACCCCCACCTTCTCTGCTCCTGCATCGGCCCCTGGTCCTACGCGTGGCTCCCGTTCGGCAGGGTCGCCCGTCATCGGCCCCCTTCCCCTCTTGGGCCCCCCCCCCGGGACTTCGGGATCCCCAGGCGAAGGACCGCTGCGCGGCCGCGGGGGAGGTCCTGCAGCAGGGGCTTGAGAACGGGATGATCACGGACAAGGACCAGAAAGGAGGGGGGCACGGGGATCGTACGAATGCCAAGCCAGGGGCAGGAAGAGCCGGGGGAGGCCGAGGAGGATGCGGAGGGGGATGAGGTGGAGGAGGCGACGGAGGAAGCGTAAAAGGATGTGAGGAGGTGGAGGAGGCGACGGAGGAAGCGTAGACGGAGGTGAGGAGGGGGAGGAGGAGAAGTAGGAGGAGGAGGAGGAGGAGGAGGAGAAAAATGGAGAAGGGGATGGGGAGGAAGAGGATGTCTGGAAGTCCTGAGAAGGATGCTCCTCCTCGTCCTCCTCCTTCTGCTGGTGGCACCCTCGGAATCTCCAGGACCCTGACATCCAGGCACTGTGACAAGGGCACGACTCTTTTCTTTCATCTCGCTCCGTCGTGGCATGCCCACGACTGGTGACGCGTCGGGTTGCGCACGGACGTGTCCCCAGGCAGCCCCCGAGCAGTCCGGGGCGGCCTCGACACCCCAACAGGGGGGCGCGGAGCGCCGCCGGAGCGCCGCCGGAGGCGGCGCCATGGGTGTTGAGAGATCGCCCTGGGCTGCTCGGTCGGGGGGCCTGCTGAGGCAAGCCAGGGCGACCTGGGGCGGCCGTTTATGCGCAGCCCGAAGCATCAAGGGCGCCCTCGAGGGCGCGAAGTTGTTCACGCTTCGCGGTTCGGCTTCGATTGCTCCTCATCCTCTTCTTCTCCCCTGGGAGGCGGCGCGAGAGCGCGAAGTTATTCGCAATTCGCGCTTCGCGCAGCGCAAAGCGCGAAGTTGGGAGCCCTTGAAGCATCTGGTCGGGAACTTTTGGATACCACGTCGCGCCGCCGGTTCTGGCTCACCGCGCTGCGGCGCGAGACGCTAGTCACTTCTGGTCCCCCAGCGCCAACGTCCCGAGCATTTCCGAGTCTCCCGCCCCGCGGAGCGGAGCGACGCGCTATCTGCTCGCAGAGCATATAGCGTGTCGCCAGAGCCGCCGTGGCGACACGCTAAGCACAAGTTCCCGACCGTAGTCGTTGGAGTGGGGGGATGGACTACAGAAGTAATTTACCCCAAACGTGTTTCTTCGCCGAGTCATACGACAAGTACCGAGACTGTCCCGGACATCTGCGAACCTCTCACGCACCTGTTGTGGAGTCGACGAACAGCAACCGCTGGGGCAGGCCAAGTCTGTAGTCGACCCCTGCCCGGACCATCCGGCCTCCAGGTGCCGGGGCGTCTGGTCGGCCGCAGGGGTCCCCCGTCGGCGAGGCCAGCGGCGTGCTGCGGAGGGCGCAGCTGCCCCGCCCGAGGCGGGGCGCCCATATGCGCGGGGCCTATGGGGCGGCTCCGCCCGCGCAGGCCGGCGGGCGGCACGGGTGGGCCCCCGCGAGCTGTGCCGACGCTGCGAGCTCGCCATGGGGCCTCGCGCCGGCTTCGACTCCGAGTCTCGGGCCGGACGAAAGGGGGCATCGGGAAAGAGAGGGGGGGTGACGAAGTCTGCTGCATGCAGCTTGTTTCGGCCCTGCCGAGGGGCCCATGCCTCGATACATGGCCGTCTCCGGCGCCGGGAGGCGCCGGGAAATTCGGCTACGTGAGCTGATTCTCACCCCCCCCCTTTGCTATGCCGCCCGAGAGTCGGCGCTGGCGCCTCCACGGGCCAGGACGAGGACAAGTCCGTTCCAGAGCGTTCCGGGCGGCTTTCGGGGCGTTCCAGGACGCCCTGAGAAGGCCGCGGCGCCGGATGCGTTCTCCAGAGCCGCCGGATCTCAGAGGCTCTCGGCTAAAATGCACCCGAGATGTTATCCTCGTCTTGGCTTCGTCTCAGGGTCGGCGTTGGCGCCTCCAGGGCACGCGGAGGCGGCCACGCGCTCCAGGGAGGGGGGCCTCGCCCTCGGCGCGCGGGAAGCCTTCGGCGGAGGGCGCCGCAGGGTCGGCGGGAGCTGCGGCGGAGCTCGAGCGGGGAGGGCTCCGCCGGCAGCAGCCGGCGGACGTAGGAAAAGGCGAGAGAGAGCGAGAGAGAGAGAGAGAGGGAGCGGTCTCGTCGTGGGTGACGCGGGTCCCGAGGGAAGCGGGCCCTGAGGTTTGTCGCCGCTTTCGGGCCCTCGGGGCCCTCCACGGGCAGCGGGAGCGTCAGAGAACGGCTCAGGAGGAACAGCTCGTCCGGGGGGAAGGCCCCGAGGTCCAGGGCCCGTTTCCCTCGGGACCCGTTCCCCCATGCCTATTGAGAGGTCAGCATGTGTCTGGTCCAGGGTTTCTGGAGTCGGCCTTGTTCTTGGGTGGTTTGCTGGTAGTGCTTGTTTGTTGTGTGTATTGACGATGTGTTGGGCTGTGTTCTCGCAGTCTGGTGAGCGATGGGGATACCTCATGCCCGAATCCTGGTCCAGCGAGTGTTCCTCATTCTCGTTCCTACTCTTCCAGCCCCCATCCTTAAACCCCCTTCTCCTCAGTCCTCCGCCCTCCGCATCTTCCTCGTCTTTTTCCGCCCTCGGCCCTCCTCATCCTCCCGCCTCGTCCTCTTCCTTCCCCCCCTCCGCCCTCCCCACCTTCCCGCCTCCCGTCCTTCCTCCTTCCCTCCTTTCCCCCCCCCATCAGTCTCCTCCTCCTCCTCCTCCTCCTCCTCCTCCTCCTCCTCCTCCTCCTCCTCCTCCTCCTATGTCCTCGTCCTTCCTGCCTCCTCCCTCCTCTCCCCCTTTTTTCGCGCACACCCCGAGAAGGAAATGGCCGCCCTGGCCCACGGGCTGCTCCAGGAGCAGGGCTGCGCGCCCACCGCGCTGCTGGTGGCCTGGATCGAAAGGGCGCAGCACTTCCAGGCGTACTGCGAGCATGACCCCTCCTTCAAGGAAACACCCTTCCTCCTTATCATCCTACTTCTCCTCCAGCTCGTCCTCCTCATCATGCTCCTCCTCTGCACATTGTCCCAGATCGTCTCCCCCCCCACCTCCCCCCCCATCCTCCGTCCGCCCTCCCCCCTCCTCCCTCCTACCTCCCGCCTCCCCCTCTTCTCCCTTTCTGCCCCTCTTCCTCCCCGTGCCCTTCCTCCCTTCCTTCCTCCTTATCATCGTCCCATTCCCCCTCCGACGTCTCCTGCTCCTCTTGGTCGTTCTCCCGCTTCTCTCGGCTCCCCCTTCTCCTTTTCCTCCTCCTCCCCCTCCTCCTCCTCCTCCTCCTCCTCGGAACGGCGGAGCAAGACCTACCTTCCACCTCGGCCGACGGGGCGTGGGTCAACTGAGGCATTTCCAGTTCCTGCCGCCCTGTCTGCCACCACTCACATGCCCGATGCTCGCCCCAAGTGCAGAAGGCAAGGCCAGCATTGGCGTTCCTGCGCTACTGGCTCTCCCTCTCCTGGCCGTGTGCCTCTTCAAGATGGTACGCACGGACGTGATGATGACCACTCTTGATGTGGTCGGTCCGCTTCCGAAAACATCTACGTTGGCATTGACCCAGACTTCTGTGAACCGTGCATCATTTGCCTCCTTGACCGGAAGTTTACTTCCAAGGTCACAGACTTGAAAATCGAGTTCGGTGATTTCATGGCAGGACGCGCCAGGACAACGGCTTTCGCCGCGACCAAAGCTTTGGAAGCCGCCCACCAACAAGTCCCAGGATCGAGCAGGAAGGACGTGGGGAACTCCATCCGGCCAGACATCGACTCCATCGAGCGCCGCTTCCAGTCCCAAGCCGACCCAATTACTGTAAGAGCTGGCTTTCTGCATCTCAAGGCTACCGTCTTCTCTGGGCAGGTCGACGACATGCGTGCCTCCATGGATGAGGTGCGCAACGGGCACGCGATTGCCGATCGAGCTCCTCCCCCGCCACGTTCGGATTCGACCTCATTTAAGCAGGATGTTGACGGTGCTATCCTCAAGGTGATGGCCCCTGGCATGGTGTGCAGGACCGTCGTCGTCTGTTCAACCTAGGCGTGGCTCAAGACTGGCTGCTCTCTCGGACGGCCTCGCGGTGGGTGCGAGCGGTGCCGTTGGCAAGAAAGTTTAGCAAGCTCGTGCCGCTCTGCGTCCCCGTGGCAGGGGTCAGTGGGTTCGTTCACCCGTCCCTGCAGCTTCGGGTGGCTCTTTTCCATTACACGCTTGCCCAGACAAGAGCCTACGCCATATCAAGATGTAGCGGGCAGGCAGAAGATCACCAGATTGCTGCGCGAGAACTTCACTGACCACAAGTTTCACCAAGCCAAACATCGACTCCATCGAGCCCCGCTTCCAGTCCCAGACCGACACAATTACTTTAACAGTAGGCTCTGTGCAAGGCTACCGTCGTCTCTGGGCAGGTCGACGACATGCGTGCCTCCATGGACGAGATGCGCAGCAAACTTGCGATGGTCGGTCGAGTTCCTTTCCGCTAGATTTGGATTCGGCCTCAGTCACGCGGGATGTTGACGGTACTATCCTCAAGGTGATGGCCCTTGCCCGGCATGCCATGATCTGCAGGGCCAGCGTCGTCTGGCGTGGCGCAAGATTATTATTCGCTCGGAAGGCGTCGCGGTGGGTGGCGAGGACAAGGACAGGATCTTCTCCGTTCAGTTCAAGGGCGCGCGCGGTGTCGCTGGCAAGAATGTTCAGAAAGCTCGCGCAGCTCTGAGTCTCCGTGGCAGGGGTCAATGGGTTCGCCCCCCCACCCCTGCAGCTCCGGGCGGGCCCGCCCAATTGCGCGTTTGCATGGACAGGGGCCCATGCCAATCGAGATGGGAATTGCATGCGAGAAGGTCACCAGCTTGCTGCGCGAGAATTTCAATGACCACAAGTTTTCTCCGACGGTCAGAACGGTTGGAGCTCAGAAAGCATGGGCTCTAGATTCTTTTGCTGGGGCCCCAGCCTGGTCGCGCCGTCGCCGAGCGTTCCCGGTGCGACGCCGCTCTGGTGCTACGCGGGCGGCCAAGCGAACGCCCCCCCCCCCCCCCCTCCGAATCTTCGGGCGGGTCATCGAGCCGACGGCGGCGCCCGGTTGGTCTCTCTAGCTATTTCGACTTCATCTTCAAGCGCGAAGTGGAAGGCGGCGCGCCGCCCGTGCTTGCCCCCATCTCCCCCGTCGCGCGGAATGCCCGCGCCCTCGTGGTGCGCGGTCAGACGGCTAAGCGGAGGGGCAGCGAATCTCCGCGCGCCTGGCATCGCGAGCGCCATCTTCGCGTTCAGAGGGCACATGGATACACCCGCGACCGCAGGGGGCCGAATGGAAAGGGTGGCCCCTGATTCGCGCGCGCATGCGCGTTCAGTTCCTTCGGCGATATTCTGAATGGCCGCGATCGCGGCGCTGTGGCAGGCGCAGGTCATCATTATTATTCGGCTTCTTCCATTCCTGCGTGCGCCCGATTTTCGGGCAGAGCGTTAAAGGCGCTTCTGCGGAGCGCGCGGGCTGAAGTTCGACGGCCCATCGTCGTTTACATTGTCGCTGGTGCCTGCCAGCGCGCCGCGACGAAAACAGGGCAGGCCCGCCCCGTCAAGTCCACGAACGTTGCCAGAGCGCAGTCGAAGATGCGGATGACCACTCTCTGCCGCATGCTTTGGATCGTGCCCGAAGGCCCCGCGCGCTATTGCGGCGACTCTAAGTCGTCGGCCCGTCGGGGGCGCATCTGGATATTAGGGCCAAGCTGGGTGCAATGCCAGTTGGCCCGCTCCATTCACGTCATCGACGACCCCCAGCAGCTCGCGGCGAAAACGAGAGGAACACCTGATCACGCGGCCGTCCGCCTTGCCCATCAGCACTTAGCCTTCGATGAAGCAACTGCCGAACCCATCCCCAGGTTATCTTCAAGAGAGGGGAGCTCAAATCCAAGATTGGGCGCGCTCGCTACTGCCGATCGCGAACTCACGGGTTCCACGCCGCCTCCCAGGCAGCTGGGGGGATGCGCGATTTCGACGTCCGCGGCCGCTCGCGCCGCTGTGGACGCGGCCCTTCGCGACGAACCAGAACGACTTGCAGCCCGATGAATATTTGCCCGTCTGGCGACAAGGGCAACCTGGAGGCAGGATGCTGCGCTCGCCATCGAGGTTCGCATCCCGATCAGTCCTGCCCTAGAATTCGATGTTTCTTGGCGGGGGCGCGGTGCTGGATGGTTGCGCTGCATTCCAGGCGCGGTCGGGGCCGCTCGCCGCGCGGCAGCTGCCGCGCGCGCCGGGGGCCCCTTATCGCAAGATGCTCTTGAAATTGGCGCGATCGTCCGTCGCCGGGAATGGCCGTGGACGCGCGGAAAAAGGCGCAGCGTTTGGGCGCGCTCAGCCAAGCGATCTGCACTCGGCGTCACCAAGACGAGCGAGGGCGTCTACTCCTCAAAAGCAGAGCAGTGAAGCTGAAGGCTCACATTGAATCTTGGGCGTCAGTCTTTCCGACGCCGGTCTCCTCGCCCTCTAGCGCGGCCTCCTGCTCGTAATAATTCGCCCAGCCGCGTCGCATGATTGGCCTTCCGCCCCGCCCCCGCGGCGCTCTGCGGACGGCCGTGGAGCGGGCGGCTCCATCGAGGCCGGCCCCTGGCATTGATCAATGGGCTCCCGCGCGCGGCCTGGGGGGCTCGCGAGCACGGCGCTCAAGCGTTGCGATGGGCTCGGCGCTGGTCGATTGGCAGGTGGAATTCCCTCGCGGCGCTAGGCGACGCGCTTCGAGTTGTTGTTTCCTGAGGGCGCCTGGGCTCAGACGGGGGCGACCGCGGCGTCGTCGGGGCCCTGGGCGCTGCGAGGGCGCTCGGGCTTCGGGGCGCCGACGCGAACGTCGCTCCTGCCACTCCTCACAGCGCCCGCCCCCAGCATCAATCAATAATGCCGCCTCGTTGTCGCAGCGCGGCTTCGCGGCTTTGCTCCTGGAAGCCAGCTCGCTGCCAGCGCCCTCGAGCTCGACGCGTTGGCGAGGGTGGCGCTTGCCTTGCCTGGGCAAGGGTCCATCATCCTCCTGCGCTCACCGCGCTCGACCTTGGGCAAGCATGTCCCAGCCTGGCCCGGGACGTCATGACATCGGCACTGCCGTCTAGTTGTCCGGAGATAATAAATTGCAGGGCGTCGGGGGATCTCGATGGCAAGTAATCGCCTGCGCACTCGTTGCCCGACGCGCGCGTAAAGCATCGGAGCGCGGCGACCCCCCGCTGCCCCCCCCCCCCCCCCCCTCGAGGCGGCGGCGGTGGCCAGGGGCTCTTTCAGCGACCGCCCGACGGCTAGGAGAGACGCGCAGAGGCGCGCGTGCTCGGCCGCGCCTTAGACCACGATGACAGCGCTGCCGCCAGCTTCTCCGACGACTGCTCGCCGCTCGTCGCCACTGTTAAAGAAATGGGGCGCGCGGCTTCCAGGTCGCGCCAAGCGCCGCAGTGCTATTGCGCCGCGGGCCTTCGGGCCGCTGAGATAATGGCGCGGCTGATGGCCAACTTTTCGTAGGGCACCCCCCTCTTCGTGGCCCGAAGTGGCGCGTTTGGCTGCGAGGGCGAGCGAGGCGAACTCGGCCGCCGCAGTAGCTGCAGGGGCTCGGCTTCGGCGACCTCGATGGCCATGTCTTTGGGCGGGGGGGGGGGGGGCGCGTCCTGTTAGTGAAAGGCCCCCGATCACTACACTTTGGCGGATACTTCGACGGCCGCAACTTGTTGCTGGAATGGCGCGTCTTGTTCACCAGGGCCTAGTTGAGGCGAGCCGCGCACGGCCGCGTCTGCACTCGTGCAGACGACGGTCCTTGCGCGGACATCCGGGCGGTCATAGCGGCGGAACTCCACGGGGAATCACGGCGACAAAGTCAGCGGCTACGAGCTGAAATGGCAGACAGACTCTAAGCCCTGGCCGAGGCGGAGCGCGATTCTGAGCTGCAGCGCCGTCTCAGACACTTCGATGCGTTCCGCGCCTGGCATCCTGTTAGGGGCGTTATGCCGCACAGGCTCTTGCATGGTTGCTGTCGCTTTTGGTTCAAACTTCTCGCGATGATCATGCTCGTCTCGATCGCTGTGGATAACGCTGCTTGGTGTCTACCTCTACCTGCTGTTCGCCATGTGAGTCGTCATGCTCGGCATCGTCAATATCGCGCGCGCCTTCGCCCATCGGAATGGAGGAATCGGATGGCCCTCGCATGCTGTCGCCGCGCGCTGGGCCCCCCGCCCGCGACGCCGTGGGCGCGTCGCGGGGGCGTTTTCAATCTGCGTCGGGGGCCGCCCGAAGTGGCATCTTCAGATGATTATGCCGGCGGGCGCCTCCTCGCCAGAGCTACCAGTTGGGCTGGGCCCCGTCTACGCTAAGCTCGGTCGCGGGGAAGGGTGTTTCCACCGCGCGGCACGAGCGGTCGAGACCAGGAGTGTTTGTTTTGTACGATGGCCGGCCCAAGGGTCAGAGTCGCGGATATATTTAGAAGCGAGGGACTGTTGCAACGAGCCGTGACAATAAGTTACGGCGGGTGCGAAGTCCAATAAGAGATTGGGATTTGCTTCCACGGCGTTGGCGGACCTGGCGGTTCTTAGTCAATACCTTGTGCAAGAATGTGAACCTGAGTATTTCCCGTACTTGAGCTCCGAACTCTTGCTGCACCAGGCAGATGGGATGCATCGTGCGGCTCGATGTTTTATTAACCATGTCCATACCTCGTCTGTGCTCGGCCGCCGTTGGCATGTGACCCCACAACAGCCAGCAAAGGACATGAACAACGAGTTCAAGATCTCTACCGACCTCAAATTGGTGGAGTGCCAGCTGACGCGCAGAAGGATGAAACACAGGTGTGCGCCCGTGCCCACGCTGAGCGCACGCTAGTGCGTGGCCCACCCGGGTCGTTTCCGTGAGTTGGGCTTCGGATGGGAGTGAGCACCCATCTGCTCGAGCAGCAGGAAGGATTTGGGAGACGCAGAGCAGCCACCATGTGCGCATCGCGCGATGGCTGGGTGGTACATCCTCCTCCGCGGGGTCTTGGTCACCGCTGGGTTGGCGCCTGCGACTTCAAAGCGCTGCAGACGGCTGTTGGCAGCTGCGACTCCTTGGCTGTAGATATATCATCCTCCTTCTCTTCCTCCTCCTCGTCCTCCTCCTCGTCCTCCTCCTCGTCCTCCTCTCCCCCCTCCTTCCTCCCCATCGTCCCTACCGTTATCTCTCCCTTTCCCTCTCTCCCCTTCTCCTTCATCTGTCCTCCCTCCCCCCATGCTCCCTCTTCCCTCTTCCCGTGCCGCTCTTTCTTCCTCCCTCCCCACTTCACCCGGTTGTTCTCCTCCCATTCCCCCTCGCACGTCTCTTTTTCCTCCTGGTTATCCACCTCCTCAACGTCACGTGAGTTTCCTTCACCTCCCCCCCTCCTGCTCCTCGTCCTTGGGCTGTTGCTGGTTCCCCTCCTCCTGGTGACGTTCGCTCCTCCTCCTCCTCCTCCACCTCTTCCTCCCCTCCTCCTCCTCCCCCTTCTATTCCAATTCCTTCAATCCTTTTCCTTCTGAATAGTTCCACCCTGTCTCACCCCGATGCGTGCTGGTAGAGCGGGACGGGTCTTTCGCCTCAGAAGCTTCACCATGTTATGTTCCTTAAGCTGATAATTTGCACGAGCTTCACAAATTGAGGACGGGCCGTTTTCAATATGTGGCTCTCGCATCAGCGCCGCGCGCATTCGCTTCAAGTAAGTGCAACAGCTTCACGGATGAAGGGCGGCCGTTTTCAAAATGTGGTGTTGGCTTTAGCGCTGCGCGCATGTTTTTTTTGTATGCAACGTGTAAGAATTTGACGCATGGTGGGCGGCTGGGAACAATAGTTTCCTGGATGATCGGCGGTTTTTTTTCAACATGCTGTTTTCGCCTTCGGGCAGTGCGCATTATTTTTGAGGGCTCGCAACACATTCAAGGATTCCCATGGTCAACGCCACCGATCGCGTTTTGGCATGATGTCGGATTATCAGGGCGCTACAGTTACGTTGTTCTGCGGTGCTGAAGTCCCAGGAATAGCGTCCTGGCACGATTCAGGATCGTCAAGACGCAACAGTAATGGAGATTCGCGGCGTTGAAGTGCTTGGAGTGGTGCCCTGGCACAGTGCAGGATTTTCAAACGGTTGTCTTCCAACGGGGCACTTTCTTCAGTCAGAATGAGTCAAGTTAGAGGCCGATGAGGAGGGAATGTGCGGGAGGGCTTATTGCAATCTCGTTGGCGAGGCTTGGGTTTGCACTGGTTCTCCTCCTCCTCCTCCTCATCCTGGTGATGTTTGCTCCTCCTCGTCTTCCTCCTTCTCCACATATTTCCATATGACTCACCCCCCGCCTTCCAGGATCACTTCCGGAGCACGCTCAGCGCGCCAGAGTGGGACAGCCTGGACGGGCTAAACAGGAGGAGGGGACGACGCTGAGGGAGAGATGCGGGGAGGGATAAGAGGGGAAAGGAGGAAGAGAAGAGGGGAAAGAAAAGGGACGAGAGCGCACACGACGCACTCGACCTTTTCATTCCTCCTCCTTCTTCCGTTTTGGCTTGTCCTCATCCTATTCCTCCTCGTCATCCTCCTCATCCTCTTTCTCCTCCTCTCCCCGTGTCTCCGTAGCCATTTTGGCTCAAGGCGTTCCCCTTGTTTGCCCCAACATCTTGGCTCCAACTTGCTGAGCTCATGGCGGCTTGAGGTCTCTCTGGTATTTCTTGTCTGGCGCCTGTTTCATTCCTCTGCTGGTGGGCTACGTGACTGGCAGTGGCGCTATCTTGTCATAGTGTTATGCGTTCTAAATACAATTGCTTGGCGGCGAGAGTCCGCCTCTTGGCAAAAGAAACATACGTACAACTGGACCCTTCTTTGCAAAGTTCGGCACTTCGGCGCCACTCCTATCTGTGCGAAGCTCTTCAATATAACATCCATCATCCCAGCCATGCTGCGACTCTGGCTCGTCCGCTGGTGGGCGACCGCGTTTATCGTCATAGTCGCAAGCTTTTTCGGCGTGTTGGGCAGGAGCGACACGTTGTCTACCAGGACCATTCGCCCGAGCACATGGAGGTAGCTGGTGCGTGCTCTTCACATCTTGCTATTCGTGCGCGCCGCTGGCAGCAGCCTCGCTGCCACCGCCACCATACTACCGACTTCGTGCTGCGCTCGGATGCCCCGGCGTTTTCGCCTCCGGCTTACCTGCTCTCTGGTGAGAGCGCCGTCGCCGCATACCGCTCGGAGCCTTTGGGGCATACGAGGTCAGGGGGCGGCTTGGAGATGGCAGGGCTTGCTTTCAACGAGTCTGAGTTTGACTTCTGCGATTTCCATTATGACTCGTCTTTCGTTCTTCCGCCATACGTGCCCAGCATTGGGATGGATGTGATTTCTTACTCTGCCTTGTGGGGGGCTCTTCAAGAACTGCAGGACATGGCTCGCCAGGCTCACGTGATGGCGTATTCTGCTGCTGCCCAAATTGCTTCTTGTTCTGATCTCGTCAGCGTGATCGAGCAAAAGAACGAGAAGCAGTTCGCATCGATTTCTGCTCTGGTGGAAATGGAATGGGCTATCCTTTTTTCGCTCCCTGGTGCATCGGCTGCCGCCAACTTATCCTCTTTGGTGTCTGATATGACTCATCTCAGTGAGCGACGCGAGCAGTTAGAGCAAGCCTTCATTGATCAACATCAAGATATTGTTTTCACGGTCTCCTCCCTGAAGCAGACGCACTCTGAGTTCGCTGCTCACCTGGCGTCGACGATCCCACACGCAGGCATGGTGAATGCGAAAATGGACTCTATGCAAGGCCTCCTGCGCGCTCAGTGTGGTAAGCTTCGCGATGAATTGCAATCCGCTCTGACTCTGGGCCAGGAGCACTTACACAAATCTGTGCGTCAGGATATACTCTCGCTGAAACAACGGATCTCTGCGGTTCAACAGGACGGCCTTTCGCCTGACTGCGTTCGGCGGCTTGTCGAAAGGCCGCTTTCGGGTTTATGGGATGATTGTCAAAAGCTGGTCGATTCGCATGTGTCAGAGGTGAATGGTTTTATGTCTGACGTCCGCGAGCAAGTGGTGCTTGAGGCCCACACTCTGTTCCACAATTTGTCGGCCGACGTGGCCGTGTTGAGGGATTCTGCGGCGCTGGTGCAAAAGTATCGGCGCGCGGTCTGTGACACCACTGCACTGCAAGAACAGGTCGCGATCCATGACAGTGCTCTCCAACAGTTGACTGAGATGCTTGGGGTGCTGGTCTCTGGGAATCCGAAAGCTATTGTAGACGCTGTTAGTCGTGCACTCCAGCAGTTCTTGGAGAGCGACGTCATAGCTGGGGCTGTGCGTGCTGAGCTGCTGCGGTCACCTGCACGTGACGACTCCGTGCGTGCTGATCTTTTTCCGAGTCGTCTTCGTCCTGCTTCCTCCCGTCCGTCGTCTTCGGTGGGATCGGTTTCTGCTGATGAGGAGGTGTGCGATGTTTGTGGAGGGCGGAAAGCACACCGTCATTCTCGCTTGACGTGCATCTGCATGCTGAATGAGGTGACGAACTGGACGCTGTGATCGACTTCTTTGTGCTGCCGCCGTTCCTCAGTGTCTCGGCGCAGTTCATTGTCCCGCCCTGGGACGTCCTTGGCCTCTCCTCCCCGGGCTGCCTCCCAGGTATTCTTGCTATTCGTGTGGCTTGCGCCTCCCGCGGTTTCGGTTCGTGCTCTTGGCGAGAGCGGCGGATCCAAGTATATTCTGCCAGACAAGACGTCTTCCCTACGCCGGGCTCCTCTCCCCGTGTCGGCGCGAGCCACCACCTTGCGAAGCGCCGCATCATGTCGCAAGCTTGTGCCAAGTGCGCCGCATACTGAATCCTCCTGTCGAGCTCCTTTAGTGATCTAGTGCCTTCCTCCACATCTCCTCCCTCCTCTCCTCCTCTCCTCCTCTCTTCCCTCCTCTCCTCCTCTCATCCTTCTCCTCCTCTCCCCCCCCCCCTCCACCCTCTTCAACGGAGAACGGGGCGGAAGGAGGGGGGCGGATCGCGGAGGGGGGAGGGAGCAGAGATGATGGGTCAGGAAGGGTGGTCAAACAACAAAAAGAAGGGGGAGGAATGCAGGGAGGAAGGGAGAAAGGCAGGGAAGGAAGGGAGCAGGAGCCGAGAAGCTTTGTGTGCGGGCAGGGCTCTGTCTTCGTGCTCCAGGACTCGCCTCGGGAGCCCCCCCCCCTTCCCCCCGTCGCTCGAGCTCTGCTTGAGTCCTGCGGCCACAGACCCAACAAACGTGCCTGGGCGGGAGCTGGAGAGTCAAGCCAGCCAGGTCGAACGAGTCAGCGGGCCTCGACCTTTCCCACGCACCTTCCCACGGCATAAGACGGTGGCGCAGCTTGGGGCAGTGCGCGGCTGGGAGCCTGCCCTGGCGGCTTGGAGCGGTTGCTGAAGGCATCCTGCGACCGCCTGTCGTTTTCCCTGCTCACTCACCGTCTGGTGCAGGGCACGCTTGCTTTCGCTCGCGGTGGCACAACCTGGTATGGAGCACGTTCCTGCCTGGCATTGGACTGGAAGTGGTAGTGGGGCTGGAACAGCCTATTATCGGGACTGGAGCCCCAGTTTCAGTCGATCTCTGCGCGGCGCCGCGGCGAGAGCGACTTCGTCGTCCGCCTGCGCGTCGACAAACCAGCGAGCCAAACATGTCCCCCGCTTCTGAGAAGGAGCTCGATTCCGAGGAAAAGCGAGCGCGCGCCGAGGCGAGATCGAGATTTCGCCCCTTCGCACTCGATGCGCGCCCCGTCCCAGTCCCGCCGCGTCGTCTGCATCGTCGACGTCAACCACTCGATGTTGAATTCTGTATTGGCAGGCTATCGGCCGGCTAGGGGACAGCCTGGCAGATTGGGAGCAAGACCCCCAGCTTGCCACAATATTGATGCCTGCCAGTGCCCACGGTGACCTGCGGCGCGCCAGGAAGGCTGAAGTTGACGGAGAAGGAGAAGGCGGGAGGAACGGGAAGAGGGGGCTGATGCTGAGGAGCTCCGGAGTGGCCCACCAGCAAGCCGAGGGCTGGTGCGATTTGTTCATTCTGTGGACGGAACTTCCCGGCTGCACTTTCCTCGGCTCTGCTGCACCTCCTTCCTCCTCCTCCTCTGCTCCACCTTCTCGGTCAGCTGTTGCATCGTGTCGGGAAAATCCCTCTCGCTTGCCCACCCCCACCCGACCCTAGCTTTTCGATCCTCGACATCTGGCGAGCTTCAACCAGGATCCATCTTGCGGTGGTTTATCGAGTTGCGTCCAGATGTGGCGACGAGAACCTCCAGAAACGCCTCAAAACCTTCGAAAATATGACGGTTCTGAAACCTCGATCCTCGATCCTCTAGGCCTCCCGGGGTCCGAGCAGATGGGGGTCGAAGGATCTATCCCTTTCGCCGATAAATCGACGATGCTGCTTGATGTGGATTCCGATTGAGAAGGCCTTACGGCCAGTGCCGCCGACCATGGAAGAAGACCTGCATGATGAAGGTGGCAGCCGGAGGTGTTGGGAGTCGGGACCAGACGCCCCGAATAGCCCCCCAGAAGACCCATGGTTCCCCAGAACGTCTGACGAGTAGCACAGCTTGGCTAAGCCCTCTGACTACGTGCTCTCGCAGTCGCTGTGGGAGGAAGAGGGGGGAATCGTGAGAGGGAGGAGGAGGAGGAAGAGGATGAGGTGGAGGAGGATGAGGAGCAAGAGGAGGAGGAGGAGGAGGAAGAAGAGGAGGAGGAGGAGGATGAGGAGGCTGAGACCTCTTGGGAGCCTTTTCGGGTCTCTGGCAGCCTCCTCAGGCTTCATGGCGGCCTGTTGACGCCATCAGGGACCGCCTTGGAGCTATCTTGGGTCAATCTTAGGTTGGATACTTCTTGGGGTCTCTTCGGAGAGCTCTCGGGGGCCTCTGAATGCAATTGTGAGGCCGCTTGGGAGCCTCTTGGGACCCTCTCGGGGCCTCTTTAGGGCCTCTGGGGAGCCTCTTTGGGCCTTCCGCGAGCATCTTGGACGGCGAGCTCGACATCTCCCTTCATGTTCCCCCTCTGGGGACCCTCTTGGGACGTTCTTCGGCCGGCTTGAAGGCCTCTTGGACCGTCTAGCGGTTTTTTTTTGCTCCCTCTGCTCCCGTGTGACGGCCTCGTTTGGCATAGCTTTGGGGCCTCTTAGGCTGTCTCGGAGCGTCGAGAAGCCGACAAGGCAGAAACGTTCACATTAGGGACGAAGACTTATTAACGATGCTGTATCGAGTTTGCCTCTTTGGGGCCTCATGGGAATGCGTATGGAGACCACCTGGACGTCTTGGAGCGATCCGTTGGGGGGGAATCTTGGACGTCTTGGAGCGATCCGTTGGAGACTGGGCCCTCTTGGGCCCCTCTTGGATGATCTAGGACTTTGAACTGCAGAAGGAGGGCCAACATTAGCTCGAAGGCTACCCGAAAAAATTGAAGGCGGGGCGACCGTTCTGATCCGGGACCCCGTCCCCGGGGAAGCCCACCATGACGCCCCCCCCCGCTAGTGGGGAAGAGATCAGAGGGAAGGGGCTCCCCTTCGACTCAATTACGACTTTTCGATTGCGACCTGGTTCGATTTACCTCGAATCGTCGCGCTCGGCGAGCCAAAGTGGGTCTCGAGAAAGTCCCAGAATGGAAGAGCAAATCGAATGAGCATCGTGTTTGCGGACGACCCGGGGACGACAACAGACTCCCCCTCGCACGCGCCGACGCCGCCGGTGCACCGCCGATGCATCGGCGATGCATCTTCGATGTGGCGGGATCCCCCGATCCCCATCTACTCGGACCCACCTGGGAGGCCTCTAGATTTTTCCCCTTCCTTCGGGATCGGAGTGATGCCGCTCCAGTCCGCGCCCCTCCTCCCCCCCCCCCCCAGGAGAAGCTGCAGGCACTCTCTGGCGAGGGGCAGCAGGGGCCCCTGCTGCAGTCGTGCGGGTCTCGGGGTGCACGGGCTCTACTCGGTGTGGGGGGTGGGAGCGACCAAGGAGGAGGCGGAGAAAAGAGAGAGAGAGAGAAAACAAAAAAAAGGGGGAGAGAGAGACAGATAGAGATAGAGTGGTGTGGGTATACGCATGAATCAGAGACGTGTGTATATCTGTATACATATATATATAGAGAGAGAGAGAGAGAGAGAGAGAGAGAAAGAAAGAAAGAAAGAGATGAAGAGAGAGTGAGATGGAGGGAGAGATGGAGAGCGAGAGAGATAGATACATAAAGTAAAATAATGGTAAGCATGTGCGTATTACGTGTACATCTGTATATCTTTGCGCGCATGTCTGGGTCCAGTGGCCGTCGGCCCATCCCACCACCGTGCCTTGGTTGTAGGTCAGAGGCCTCTTGGATGCCCGTGGGGATCTTTTGGGAGGCCTCTCGGAAGTCCCTTAGAGGCGATTTTGGTATGCCTTTGGGGCCTCTTTGGGGCATGCTGGGGCCTGATTTCGCCCTATTCGGTGTTTCCTGGAGCATCTTGCGTGGTTGCTGGCACTTTCGGCGGTCATCTCGTGGCGAAGGACTCGAAATGCCGATTTGTGGCACGAGAGAAGGCGGAGAATGAGGATCACCAGCATCACCAGATGGTTGTTGGGAATGGGACAATAACGAGATCGCAGTCGAATGCAGAAGAGGTTGCTAATTATACCTTGCGATGAGTGTGGCGCAGGAGGGGGTTCCGCAGCATGCGATTGTAGTTGAACGCAGGCTCCGAAGTCCACTTTGGGAGAATGTCTCGAGCGATACTGTCGTGTGTGAGAATATGATGGTAGCTTTAAGTACGTCGGGGTTCATGTTTGGGTGATGTGTCGCGCGACACTGCAAGTGTTCCGAGAACCGCGTCACTAGATCAGTGGCATCCGCTGTGTGCTTGAGGGTTGTATGGCACCGTGCACCATGGTTGCAAGCCTGTGTGCTTTTGGACCTTGCTGTGATAAACAGAGCGAGATAGAGAGAGAGAGAGAGATAAAGAGAGAGTCAGAGAGAGGGGGAGAGAGGGAGATAGAGACAGAGCGGGAAGAGAGAGATGGGGAGGATATGGGGGAGGCCGTTGGCTGAGGCGGTAAGATCACGATGAAGAGGAGAAGGACGATTGAGGATGAGAAGACGGATGCAAATGCTGAGGTGATGATGGTGGTGATGGCGATGCGCAGGACGACGAGGAGGAGAAGGAATTCGAGTAGGAATGCTAGCAAGAAGGCGTAGCGATCAGAAAGAGGATTGGATAAGGGATGATGGTGGTGGTGATGGTAAGGATGATCATGATGGCGAGGGTTTGGATGGTGATGAAGTTTAGGCGACTCATGACAGGGCGACGGCGACAATATTTGTGATGATAGTGGGGGAAGCCATGATGTTGATTGCGAAAGTCGTGGCAAGAATGACCCATGGTGAATTAGGGGTATGAGTCGGGAGAGGAGGAAGAGGAGGAAGTTGGAATTGCCAGGAGCAGGAGTAGGAGGACGAGGACGAGGAGGACGACGAGGAAGAGAACTCCGCCCCTGCGGAGGTCGTCGCTGGCGGGGTCCTCCATCTCGCGCGGCGTCTCAGCCCAGGGCCCCCTGCTGGCGACGTCGTGCTAGACGAGCGTGTGCACGGCCGCCTTGAGTTCACGGGTCTTAGGCGTAGTTGTTCTTGCTGTTCCCCATCGCTTTGCCCAGTCATGTTTCGTCATTTCTTCCCCCATGCCCTTCTTTCCTTTTTTGTCCGCCCCAACCATCCCCGTCCTTGCACCCCATCCACAACCAGTCGTGGTCGTAGTAGTCGTAGTAGTAGCAGGAGCAGTAGTAGTAGTAGTAGTAGTAGTAGTAGCAGTAGTAGTAGTTGTAATA